TGCGGAGCCGCCGCGCTCCGCTCGGCTCTGACACGTCCCTTATGTAACAGGTCCTTCGCTGTCAATCCCCGCGGTGCTAACGGGGGTGGAAAGCATCGATCGGGCGCTCGCTTGGCAGTGTGCGCCGCTCCCTCCCGGCGCCTCACTTCGGTTATCTCGCTTCCCTGTAGGTGGATCGGGATTCTTGTCCTTTACACGGTTCACAAGGGGCAGTTCAGCTGTCCCGGGGGAGGATTGCTGCACAGCTACCTGCTCGTGCTCCTGGTGCTCCTGGCGGCCATAATATGTGCGTTATCCGCTCTCGTGTACATCAGCATGCAAGGTAAACACTTACTAATCCGATTTTATCTTTACCTCGTACGGTCGCAATAGTAATTTGTCTTGTTAATGTGGTTTTTTGAATCTGGAGCTGACATTATAAAGAACAACGCAAAAAATTGAGGTGGTTTGGTGATAGTCAAACTTGAAAAATTCTCTGCCAGCATTAATGGATTTGCTTTAATAGAACCCCCTCTGTTAGTCTGGAAACTAACATGATGAATGGACACAATAGTTTAGTGCAGCTAATGGTGATTTGCTCATTGCCATCAGAGCATGGTGAAAACTCTCTGTGTTCCATTAACACATGACCCCTGATGGAACCACTCGGCCTCTCTGACAGGGATTTAGGGGAATGTATCCAAAATCAGCTTCTCATCTGGAGTATTGTGTTAGCTTTGCCTCGCATAGGTTTAGTCATGGCTCGTCAAAGTCCCTTAGCTGCAGTGGTTGCTTGGGAAATAACACACAGAACAAAGTGATCTCTATAAATGTCACAACAAAACTAAGACAATGAATACTGTTAGAACAGGACCTACAGCTTGGAGTGAGTGGCTGAACAGAAGTAAGAACCCCAGTGCAACTTCTAGTCATTTGTAGGAATGGTTCATTTTAGGTTAAAAATGCTAGGAAAGCTTTTCTGCTGCTGAGGCACCTGCTTAGCAAAGTATTGCTAAGAAGATTAATTTGGAATATGTGTGTGGTCTCTGGAATTATAGAAGAGACACCACAATTTTGACTACGTTGGTCCTCACAAGACACTATAAAGAGTATTTACTTAAGTGGAAAGAAGCTTAAAGTGTGCATGAAGAGAAGCTATGCCAGAGCATAGCTGTGGAGGATAATCCTGGCCTCGAATCTGACCACTGGTTTTCCTAGAGTTTCCAGAGCAGGGAAGTAACATTAGCAAGTTCTGCTGTTTATATCAAAGTTGTGGAGGTGAGAGATGTAACTGTGCATGGCAGGGATAAAAGAGCCTTGTTCAGTATAGAAGTACATCTACAAGGCCATTCTGACTAAGAAGTGGAAGAATTCCAAGGCTACATTTCCAAGAAGGTAAATGGAGAGATGTGTTGGTTGGGTTTTGATTCACCTTTACACTGTACTGACATGGGCACTGGTGATGCCAGCAGAGAACTTGGCTGGAGAACTCCCACACTGGGTGGTGATGCTGAGAAAGGAAAAAGTTCCATGGGATTGTGTCTGTGTAAGCAACTGTGCTGCTGCAGTGCAGGCTGCAGCCTGGGAATGGGAGTTATCCACCTCTGGATCAAGGAGTTTTGTCACTGGGTGTGAATCACAGCTTTACAAGTGGAAAATAGTTTCCAAAGTTATTTCTGTTGTGCAGTGTTTTAAGCCTTTACAAATGATCCTGTCTGCACATGAGCCCACACCCCCCACTGCCTCATTACCCTGCAGTCAGCAAACTGGTTTAAGGAGATGAGCTGCCAGAAATCACTCCCTTTCTTATTGCCTAACAGTCTGAAAGGAAGAGGTTATCAGTAAACTAACAGAACAGCAAAGAGTCTGAGAAGTATTTGTCCTGGTAATGGTCCTGCTTTTGTTCTTTTGTTATTATTTAGTGACTCCATAAACAGAACTTCATCGGAGCCCAGCAAGGTAGCATCTAAAAAAATGTTCAGCCAAGTAAGAACTAAATCAATAAAAGCAGCCACCAAAAGGCATGAGGAGCTGTAGGTGGGCAGTGCTCCTGCATGCAGCTTTGGCTTATGCACAGCACTGCTGCCTCAAGTCCAGTGCAGAACTGTCTGACTGGAGAGTTATTTTGGGGTTTAGCAGAGTAGATTCTAAGAATCACAGCTGTAAACCCATTGTTGTTTGTCTTTTCCCACCCTCGGTGATAGCTTTCCATGAGTATGAAAATACTGTATAGTTTCAGTTCAGTTTCTTTCTGTAAAGCTCAGAAAGTTCATATTTTTGAGTAGGATCTTATGTATTTGAGATGCATTGGTGAACAGTTTTTGTTTTAAATCCTTTCTGTAATTTCAGGAACAATTTCTAATCCAGGCCCAAGAAAATCACTTCCCAAACTACTTTATACTCGCTTACTTCTCTATTTCCCTGAATTCATCTGGGCTGTGGTGGGAGCTGTGTGGGTGTCAGACAGCAGTGTGCAGTGTGAGAAGACTGTGATAAATGTCATCATTGGGACAGTTATTGCAAGGTAAAGGTCTTCCTAAATCTGAGCTTGGTAGTGTATGTGGAAGGGAAAATGAGTTGGTTTCCTTCCCTGAATAAGCTACTTGCCTTGAAAGTGAAGGAAAGGAGGTGTAGATCAGAAAGGGACAGTGGGAGTGTAGAAAAATGGATAAATGTGAAGAGGACAATGATTGGATCATAGAATCATAGAATTTTAGGGATTGGAATGGACCTTACAGATCATCTAGTCCCAACCCCCTGCCATGGGCAGGGACACCTCCCACCAGACCCGGTTGCTTGAACCTGGCTGTGAACACTGCCGGGGTGGGGGCAGCCACAGCCTCCCTGGGCAACCTGGGACAGTGTCTCACTACCCTCACAGAAAAAAACGTTTTCCTAATATCTAGCCTAAATTTCCCTTTTCTTCAGTTTGAACCCATTACCCCTTGTCCTATCACTGCAGCTCCTAACTGAGTCCCTCTCTGGCTCCCCAGTAGCCCCTGCAGATACTGATAGGCTACTATGAGATCTCCACACAATCTTCTCTTCTCCAGGCTGAAGAGCCTGGAGCAGATCACTTAACTGGTAGTGGAAAATGGAGCTGTCACACCTTTGGGCTGCTATTCCCAAAGCACAGGGCTGTGATGCCCTGTGTGAACTGAGCCAACAGCTTTGTCCTTGTGCCTAGTGCATTGAAGGCCCAACAACAGGACATGCAGCCCTAGGACAGTAGCAGATTGTGTCACACACAATGTCATACCTAGCTTTGTTTTCAGTCTGTCAAGTCTATAGTTGTGTTTTTGTGCACACTTGTCAGAAGTGTCTGGTTTCACAGCCTTTTATCCCACGCCCTTCTGTTTTGCAGTTGGGTTATCATCATCTTCACCATCATCGGAGTTGTAATTGTGTTTGACCCTCTTGGGGGGAAGAAGACGTTTTACCTCAGCGATGGAGTAAGTCGGAACCTGGAGAGCAGTCAGTCAGGGCAGCTGCTCTACAACGTGAAGAGCTCTGCCACCAGGGTGTGGGAGAAGAGGATCAGGTTGCTGTGCTGCTGCATTGTGCAGGACGATGACCATCGCGTGGCTTTCACCAGCATCGCAGAGCTGTTCCGCAACTACTTCTCAGTAAGATGGAAAGCTGTTCTTGTGTCCTGTTTTGACTAACTCTGAGTTTGTAGACATTACAGTACACTTCTTCCTTAGCTCAGCCAGAGGTCCATGCTGCCCTGTGCCTTGAAATTGGGTTTTGAATAGGCCAATTTCTAAATTAAAGGTGATTCTTCAGTGTACAGCACTGATTCTCCTCTCCCTTTAACAGAGGTTTCTGTCCTGTCACAAATGTGAAGGGCTGTGAGAAAACAGTATCTTTGTCCTTGGATAACTGGTCATGAGAACAAGGGTGGGTTTCTTTTCCTCAATGTGTGAAGATCCAGACATTTTTGTTACTGACAATGGGAAGAGAGGAGCAAAGAGCTGGACTGCTGTTTGACTATTAAAAACTGAGCCCCACAGTATGTCAAGGCAATCTTCCCCTTCTGGGACACTTGTGAGCATGTACAGACCAGAGTGTGCACATGCAGGAAGTTGCTTTTTGGAAACAGAGAACACCTGTGAAGTCAGAGTCTGTGTAGTATTGATTTAGCTCAGATTTGTGTCATCTGCTGCTTGGGCAGGCAGAGTTCAGTGTTCACTTTGACATCTGTTCACGATTTCAAGATGAACTGTTCTGTTTTTTTGAGCAGGACTTGGGCTGATTGGTAGCTACAGCCTGCTCAGGGTTTATAGAGTAAAGGGTCCTGTGTCATACAGATAGAAAACTGCCCCAGAGAGTTGGACAAAAACCCTTCAGCCTCTTCTGTAAGCTCCTTCTGCTGTCATCTGTCTTACTGAAGACAACATTCAGTCTGTGCAGAAGGGTGGGAGGTTAGATACTGCTGTGACCTGGTTCTCAGTGCATACTGTCTCTGAGTGAAACTCATTTATATGAACTGAAAAAATAAATTCCCTGTGCATTTTCTTAGGAGACAGTTTGTGGAGGTGTGGGATGGTTTTAAGCACTCTTTCATTTCTTTGTGCAGGACACTGATCTGGTGCCAAGTGACATAGCAGCTGGTTTGATTCTGCTCCATCAAGAGCAAGATAAAATGGAAAGTTGCCCAAAAGAGCCTGAAGAAGTCCTGTGTCATTCTCCATCCTCTCTCGTGGTAAGATAGGGTTGGTGCAGCCTCTGGTGTGATTACTCTGGGAGATGGTGCCAGATCAAATTGAAATGCAGTTCTCTCTGTAGAGATTTTAGTTGGTTTTGTTTCTTTTTTTTTTAAATCAAAATTAAACACTACTACAAAATTCAGAATAAATGAAGTTATTAATAAATGCAGTGAAAACATCTTAAGGAGTTTGTGGTCAAAACATTTTTCTGCTTTTAGATGAGTAGAATTTATGTCTGAAAAGGGGATTAAGTGCAAAAAGGAACCATTTGGGACATTTGATCACTGTTAAACAGCTGGGAGAGAAAGGGAACAGAGAAAATTAATATTTGGTGCTATTTACATAGAACTGGGAAGCTAATCTGTAGTGTTATGGACTGTTTGTCTGCTGCAAATACCCAGACAAGGTAAGAAGGAAAAACAGCATCTTTTAAATGCTTGCAGGTGGTGGGTTAGTTTGCTAACTCAGTTTTGCTTGTCTTTGGTAGTAAAATGCCACTATAAATTATTTTCCCTTCTTTTGGTCTGTGTTTCATAGAAATACATAATTTCACTTCAGCCAATCTTTTGGGTCCAGCCAGTATGATGGGGTTGTGCATTCTGCAGTGTGGGTTACTGTGTGTTTCAGTGACCTCTGACATTGGTGCCTGTGCCCATGATTTCCTTACTCAGGGATCTGCTGCAGGCTCTGGAGCCATTCCTGTCACATCCTTGAGTAACAGGTTTGGAGGGAATGTGGTTTTCAGCATTGGACTTATCAGAGTATCTGTATTGGAAGAACTGATTTAATGAGAGCTTTTCAAGATTCTTGAGCTGCCTAACTACACAAATAAACACAAGCTTTTTCCTGGAATATGAGTGGCTATTTTTAGTTCCTCTTAGACCTTGAGGTTTTCATTTTGAATAGTGGGTGTTTCATCATGCCTTGATTTTCACCAGTCTGTGGTCAGTTTTTATTCTGAGACTGTCTAACACATTCCTTCCTCTCTCTCTCTCTCCTTCCTTTTGTCTCCCTGTGTCCTTTCAGACCGATGATTTGGATGTGGAACTGGAGAATGCTGCTCACTACATGCTGTTTGCTGCAGCTGCCTATGGCTGGCCCTACTACATATACACCAACCCATTTACTGCACTCTGTAAGCTCAATGGTGACTGGTAGGTTTGACCCAAGAGCTTAAAAACACATAATAACTTTCTGCTAACACTAGTTAGATAGAAAGAATAAAGTAGTTACAGTAGCAATATTTTTGTTACATTAAATTCTGTCACTCTTGGGAGTACATGAGTTTGACTGGTAGAGTTATCTTTCACAAATCCAGTAGAAACAAAATCTCAGTGTCCTTACACCCTCAAACAAATTAGCTTTATTCTTAAGAGAAGTTTGTGATTGAGATAAATAAAATTCACTTAGCAAAATAACCAAGGAAGATTTGGAATTAAACCAAACATGTTTTAAAGTTAGGCTTTTTAGAGCTGCTTTTTGGGCACATGTGTATGTACAGAAATAAAAGTCTGTCAACAGTTTTCCCTATCTTAAAGGAATTAGCAAAAGTTCCCTGTCCCTCCAACCTCTCTTGTATTCCCTTTAACCAAAAATGTCTATGGTCAGTTTGCATATTGCTGTGTAGGTTACTGTATGTTTAAGTTACCGCTGACATTTGTGCCTGTAACCAGGATTTTCTTAATTAGTCACACGAAATATAAATACAACCTACTGAAATATAAATTACTTAGAGAGAAAAATTCTCACGCAAGACAGTGGATAAAACATGAGATAAGCCTGCTGTACAGAATTTGTTCTGAATTTCCTCTTTCCTTATTTGTATTTTGTCTCACTGGCCTGTGATCTTAGGGATTCTTCCATTTCTGCATTGTTTGCTCTGCTGATGGTCCTGGAGCACCAGGGTGTTTGCCAGTCCTTGAACTGAACATGTGTGGCAGACTGCCCAGGCACAGCCAGGCCTGTGGGCAGAGCTAACAGCTTGTTGGGAAAAAAAAGGAGCTTTTGATTCCTGGCAGAAATCCTTCTGCAAATGTAACTGAGTTTGATTCCTTGAAAGGAAACCTAAAAAAATTGGAACATGAAAGTTTTTCTCTTCTGTGTTTGTTAGTTGCGGAAATAGACCAACAGATTCTGATATAACGGGCAGTGATCGGCATAACTTTCACTTTGGATCCATCCTAAAAATAACAGGACTGCAGTACAGAGACTTCATTCATATCAGTTTTCATAACAAGGTAAACAATCTGGACAGGCATTCAGCACCAGCTGTAGTGATTAGTTCAGTTGAAGCAAGGGGTGAAGGGTCTAGTTTGCGTTCAGCATTTATACCGTGCAAGATGCAAAGCCAAGTGGAAACATTCAGTAGTGATTTTTTCTTTCTAATCTAAAGGAACAGCCACAAAACCATTGACATAAATCTGTCTCAGTATTGGAAAAAAAAGCATTTAGAATATCTAGATAAGAGACTAATTCAACCTCTTTCCATAATGCAATAGGGAGCTCAGTAAGAGCTTTCAGAAGGTGAGAACAAGTGCTTGCTCCTATAAAACCTTGGTGTCTTTACTGATTCCATTTTTCCCCTCCAGATCTATGAGATTCCATTTTTTGTTGCTTTGGATCACAAAAAGGAAGCTATTGTGGTTGCAGTGAGAGGAACCTTGTCATTTGAGGTATCATCCATCTGATATCAGTAATTATAGACATGAGTGAACTGCTGGTGCCTAGAGGAAATTATGTTATGCTGGCACATGTGACAGTAACTCACGGGTATGAGTCTTCCAGGCTCAAGTTGTAAGTCCTCCTGCCCTTGGATGGGTAATATTCCCTGTGCTACTGGAAGAGTGTGGAGAACAGGCAGTGGTAATTCCATTTCGCTGTGAGTGGAGCTGCATCTGTAGTGATGTGTTTGCAGCCTGGCAGCAGTGGCTGCAGGCAGAGCTGTGGTTGCTGTGTGTGTTTGGGTGGTGGTGTCTGGTGGCTGTGTCGTGTTGCTCACACTGTTGGCAGTCAGCTCGTGGTGTCCCTGTGGCTGTGCTGTGTGGCAGAGTGACCTGTGAGCCACAGAGCCCTGCAGGGAGGTGTGACCAGAGCTGTCTCCTTCACAGGACATTCTCACCGATCTCTCAGCAGACTGCGAAGACCTGACGCTGGAGGAGGTTCTGGAGAATGGCTTTGTGCATAAGGTGTGTGCAGTGTTTATAGATCAGCTCAGCAGCAGCCAGGCACACCTGGGATCCTTTAGCTCAGCAGGAGAGTATTCTCCTTGTAAGATGGATTGCATAAATTATTTCAGTGTTCGTTGCATCTGGACCTGCAAGGCAGAATTTGTAATCCTCTGGTCAGACTTTATGTCCTGTGAAATATTCCAAAGCCATTTTAACCCTTACATACAATACACACAGACCACTTGGTCATACTTAGACCTCTGCCAGAAGCATGTTAGGTAGAACTGGCTTTGCCAAAACCAAGTTGTTCTGTGGTGGTGTTGTGTTTAAACTGTGTACAGCCTTCTGACCTCACGTGCTCTCTCGTAGGGAATAACTCAAGCTGCAAATTACATCTATCGAAAACTAATAAATGATGGAATTCTAAACCAGGCATTCACAATTGCTCCAGTAAGTTACCTCCCAAATAGTTTGGTTTGCCAGAAAAATCACACAAAGCTTTTTCTGTGTCTAAATTTGTCTTCTCTTTCTGCCTGTAGGAGTATAAACTCGTGATAGTTGGTCACAGTTTGGGAGGGGGGACAGCGTCTATCCTGGCCATCATGCTCAAGAACTCCTTCCCCACACTAAGATGTTATGCCTTCTCTCCTCCAGGAGGGTTGTTAAGGTAAGAGGCTTCTGTTGGTTGGTTCTCTGACTAAGATGTAAAGTCTTCAAGTGAGCTGACAGGTGTGTTAGGTGGTAACTGAGGGCTTGACTGTGTTAAGGGTTTGTACATTCTCCACTAAAATTAGATTTGCTCCATCTTGAGTTACAGTTGAGGTCTTGGAATATTACAGAACCAAATGCATCTAGGGAATTCTGTCAGGTAGTACAACTAGAGTTTGAAACACATGTTGCAGGAATAAAATGCTCCCCTGACTAGTCTACCTCGGCTTGTTTGACATTACACACCTTAGAGTCAACACTGAAGTTACTCTGTCACCTGTAGCAAGTCCACCAAGGGATGACTGCAAATGCTGCTGCTGTTGCCACAGCTTTGTAGTTTTATTGAAAGATACAGATCATGCTAAAACTAAAGTGTGTTTACCTCTTTAGTGTATCTAAAATGTATCTTTTTTTTTTTTTTAAAGCAAATCACTTGCGGATTACACTAAGCACTTCATTGTTTCGATCATTGTTGGGAAGGACCTTGTTGCAAGGTGAGATGGAAATGCTTCTAACTTGATCTTCAGAAATGTGTTTGATTGCAGAGAGTAAGAGGCTTTGCTTTACTTTGTTCTGTGTTTTGGAACAGGTTAAGTATGCCCAACATGGAGGATTTAAAGAGGAGAATAGTGAGGATTGTGGCCAACTGCAACAGGCCCAAGGTAACCACATGCTGTTCCTGGTTAAAACTGTTACCTGGGTTCAGCCCAGCTGTAATGCAGGGACTATTGGTGTGTGTATTTTTGGTCTTCATGGTGAGAGTTCCAGTTGTGTTTTGGAACCTAAGTGTTTGTTTTTAATTCAGGGACATTTGTGTTAGTCTCCTGTCCTATAAAGCTGTGTGGTGGAAATTCAGATCCAACAAGACCCAGGAGATACTGATTTACAGCATCAAGGACCTGGAATTACCTGTTTGCTAGCTTTGCTGATAAAAGAAACTATTAAAAAAGAGAAGTTTGGGGAGCATGTGCATACTTCTAATGTTTTAGTCGTAGTCTCAGCTGATGTGTGTGCAAGCACAGAGCTAGAGTTGGTTTCTCAGAGATGCCAGAGGTCAATTCAGCTCTCTGTCTGATTTCAGTACCAGATTTTGCTGCGTGGCTGTTGGTACGAAGTCTTTGGAGGAGATCCTGATGACTTCCCAACTGAGCTGGATGGCAGGAACCAAGATGCTCTGACCCAGCCACTGCTGGCTGAGGAGAGTTTAATGGTTCATCGATCACCTTCGTACAATGCCCTTGAGGATGAGTCACACTTAAATTCACCACCTCAGTATCCTCATCTGTATCTTCCTGGAAAGATTATCCATATTGTCGAAGAATCCAGCTCTAGGAGGTAAGTGGAATATTGAATACCACTGTCCTGCTTTCCTATAGTCTCCTAAAGCTGCTTCTCACTTTCAAAGTGCATTGTAGTTTCCAGCTCTGTGACTTACCTGCGTGCCCAGTACCCAGCTCTGGTTACTGTGCCTCAGCCAGCCTTGCAGTTTCTGTTCTGTGCCTCACAGCTTCTTTCTCCTCAAGCCCTGGACACTGTTCCTCTTTGTCCATATATTGCAGGTGCTGAAGTGAGAATTTTGAACAGGCTTAGTGTTTAAAGTTAGCAGTGACAGGCTGCAGTTCCTGCCTGAGATCAGAGCTGCAGTTTGTGTCCTGGTAGTGGTGAAGTGATAACAAAATGCCACAGTGTTTTCTCACATGAATGTTGGTGATGAGAAAGAGGCCAAGTATTGCCCATAACAGCAGCCCAGCCAGGCTGGAGAGGTGCAGCTGCCCCAGCAATTCATGTGTGCCCACTCAGCCTCTGTTTCTTGTCTGTTGCTGCTTTTCTGTGGATGCAGGAAGGTAGCACAAAGACAGCAGCAAGGTGAAACTGCTGGAAGGCTGAGGATTGTGACTTTGTTGGGGCAGTGTTGTGTTCAGGGTTTTTTGTGTGTTTTGTTGATGTTGGGGTTTTTTTAGACAAAGCAACCTGAAACAGCCCACGAGCTAGAGAGGGCTCAATATCCTCCCCTTTCATTTTGGAACAGAAATAAGAGCATCTTTAACTTGCACAAGACTGTCTGACAGAAGAGAAAAGGAATTGTATCTTAGAGAGAGGAAAGAAAAGGGTTGGAGAAGAAATCCACTTTTTTCCTCCCATTCTTTAGTGATTTCCGTACGGGTTTTACAAGTTAGGTACTTGCACACCAGTGAGTTGGTGGCTTTTCTCAGTGGTTGCTCTTCTATTTTACTGAGTTCATTTGTTTTCCATCTTCTGTTCCACAGCACAGCAGTTAATCAGGGTTGGGTCCTTTTAATTGGATTACCACAAAGAGCTCCCATCCTGTATTTGGGATTTTAGTGCACAGAATGGCACAGCACATGTGCAGCATGAAATTTATTGCCTGGTCTCCTATTGCTCCCACTCTGCTATGTCCCTTAAATTTGACAGTAACAGTGTGAACGTGCAGTGTCTAACCCCTCCTTGCTCAGACTGTATCCCATGGTTCTGGGAGCAGGAGTGTTGGACTCTTTGATGGTTTCTTTCATTGTTCAGGCACAGTGTCACTTGGTGCAGTCCTGCCCTCAGGGACACTGAATGGCAGTGCTTGCAGCTGTTTGCTGAAGGTCAGAGCTGCACCTTCTGCTGGGAGAGAGTTCCAGTCCTCCCTCAGCAAGGTCAGGAGTCTCCAGGTTGTCTGTTCCAGTTCTGACAGTCTGAGCCATTGTATCTATCTTTGGTCTTTTTTTTTTTCCCTAGGTTGTGCTCTTCAGATATTAAATACACAGCAAGGTGGTCAAATGAAACAGTCTTCAGCAGCATTTTAATCAGTCCCAAGATGATCACAGACCACATGCCAGATGTTGTCCTCAAAGCTCTCAACAGTTTGTCTCAGGAACATGGGTCGTGTCTTTGTCAGGCACGTGAGTACAACCCCAGTGCAGTGTAAGCTCCAGGACGAGCTCTGGGGCTCTCTGCAGGGTTCAGGTATTCAGGACATTCCACTTTCATGCCTAAGTGGATTTCAGTACTTTTCTCACATTGCATCAAATGACCAAGGGTGTTGGTGCCCTTGTCTCTGCAGCGACCTGGGGGAATGTTGCGCTGTTGAAGCACAGATCCTGCTCCTCAGCTGAAGGTTGGGCTTTCCCAGCACAGCTCACCTGCTCCAGCTGAGCCTGTGCACTCGACCAAAGTGAATGTGTGTGGGGACAGTGGCCACGGGTGGAGCAGAGCCCTGACAGACCTCCCAGTCTAAACCCCAGTTCTGCTCCCAAGTCACTGAGGCCGTTGCTGTGCCGCGGGCTCTGCCAGGGAAGGTGGCTGGGAGGGCACTGCAGCTCAGGGCTGGAGGTGGGTGAGAGCCTGGCACAGGCTGCAGGTTCTCAGTGATTGCACTATTTTTGTTACAGATTGTACTGGCATCCTGGGGTGGGAGGGCTGTGGGTAAATGCTGCTTGGACATACATGTGCAATATTCTTTAGTTTACCTGTCTTTTGTACTTGTGGATCATGTCATTACTTTTATTGATTTTAAGCTAAACTAAAACTACTTAATGAGATGAAAAAAAGAAACCAAACCACTGTTCATGCCCTGGCATCATCTTGGTCACTTAGCTCTGGCTCCAACTGCTGAGCACTCACCTAATTCTGCCAAAAAAAATGTATAACCAGTTGTATTGATTTTAAAAGAGTGGATTCCTTGTTTCTAGTGTGTAACGATTTTAACTGTTTTCTTTTCAAGGCTCAGCAGCATTTATTTAAAAAAGAAAAAAATTGATGTAAAAGTAATGTGATGTGGTCAAGAATAACTGTGTGATGTTCTTGCTGTGCTACTCGAGCTGGAGACACAATAAAATGCACAATAAAGACTTGGCTCCCGTGAGATGACAGTACTGGCTGATGGCTGTTCAGAGCCAGAGGCCACACAGCAGGTAAGTCCCCACCAGCAGTGAATGTGCTGGTTTTGGGCTGCTGCCCCGAGGTAAGAGGAGCCCCTGGGGGGGAGGGCAGCAGCCTTGGTGCAGCCACTCTGGAGCCACTTTAAAGACTGGAATCTGGGGCATTTAGGCACAAACTGTAAGAGTTCCAGAGGAAAAGCACTTTTGTTTGCACACAGTGGAGTGGAACAGAGATCCCTCCACTGGCTGGCAGCAGCTTTAAAGCATTGCAGCAGCAGGAGCTGTAGCTACTCAGTGATAGTGCAAGGCCCCTCCATCCTGCTGCCAAGTGCTCTGTGGAGTTCTGGTTCTCAGAGCAGCAGTGCCAGAGCCTGTGATTGCTGCACATGGCCCTGAGGAGACACGTGCACACGCTGCTGCTGGCTGCAAAAGAAATGTGGGTTCGGGGTGGTACAAGAACAAGAGACTTTGCTCAGAAACTCAAACATCAGCACACGTGTGATTCAAGGATTTATTAAGTCATACATGCAAAACATACTGCTAATTGCATTAGCAAAAGATCAATGTAAAAACTTCACAATTTTGCAACTTTTATTTCTCAATTTTGCTTTAGTGGTTGAAAGGTGTAGTTCAACATCATAACCTGCCAGCTGAGAAGGTACAGAACATTAGCACTAAGGACAGAACCTCACAGACCCGAGTTACCGTACGCAATCTATGCTGCACATGGAGTGACAGAAGAACACTTGGCTGCATTAGTCATGTTACAGTTGGGGGATCTTGCAAATAGTGAGAGTCGAGAAGGTTTGTAGTTTATAGAGGTTTAAAATATAAAAATTACTCAAATGTGTAAAGCTGCTTCACATGATTTTTACATCTAGTTAATAGACTAAAAGCTCCTCAGAAAGCATAACTTACTGGGTCAGAAATAACAGGAAAATAAGGATATGCTTGGACATTCTACTCTAAAAAAAAAAAAAAGAAAGCAAATTTCTATCCTCAGAAAGGTTTTAAAATACAAGTTATATTGCTCAGTAAGAAGAGGCTACAAGAAAAGCATTTACTACATAAAAGTGGGAATGACTGGTTCAGAATTGTACCTACATGAATGCCCTACTTGAAATTCAGAGGAATTTACCTATGAACACCAACCTCTCTCCACTACTGCACCTCTGGGGGAATGGTCTCTGAGCTACCCTGGCAGTGTAGTGTAAATCAGCTGTACAGTGTCAAAATACTGTCTGGCACTATTGTTCGATCCAACCCGATCCTCCACTTACCCTCACCATCCAATGCTGTCAAAAGGACTAGATAACACTTCAGTAAGAATAGTTGTTTCTTTATTTGTCAAAATCACAGCAGCAAGAACTAGATTGCAACCAAGCCCTTACCAATGATAAAGCATGTACACTGTGACTCACAGGGGCAGTCACTGCCAGACTGGGCTTGGAGCACCACAGGCAATGACTGGGCTGAGAAACATCATAGTAAAACACATTGGAGTGCAGTGTTCTGCTAATTACTTGGTACTGTGAAAAACTAGAAAGAGATTTTGCATTTCCTACCAGAAATTAGAGTCATTTTTTTCCAAGAAGATTCTTTAAAAAACAGTTTAGTGCTTAGTGTTTGTAGCACAACAATGCAACTTAGTTCAGCAGAGAGTTTGGCAACACTTAATCAAGCAAGAAGAGGATTTTAAAAATAAGGCTTTACACAGGTGTGTCTTTTCAGGATTTGCTCTTTGAAGAATGCAAGGAAACAATCATATTTAAACAAATGAAGTTGTCAATTGGTTCAGGAATTTATGGAAGAGTACTCATAACAGAAAAACTTGGCATTGAGAGTGAATGCTCCATTGTTGGAGCGAAGCACGGGGTGGATGGGGTGGGGGAGGGACCTTTAGAGCAGCAGACATTTTCTCTTCCTCTTCTTGACGGGAGGAGGGCACAGCACTGCTCGGATGGCCTCGTCAAACACTGTCTTGAGGCCTCTCTGCGTGAGTGCTGAGCATTCGAGGTACTTCACTGCACCTGGGGAAACACAGACAGGTGACAGAGCAGTTCTCCACCGTCCAGCAGCACTGCTCCTGGTGACCGCACAGCAAGAGCCAGGCATGCGTTTCCATTACAGTACAGCTGTTCTACAGACAAAACCCAGACTCAACCAACCGCCCCGCTGCCCTCATACCGATCTCTTTGGCCATGGCCAGGCCCTGGGGGTAGGTGATGGGAGTCAACTTCTTCTCCTTCAGCTTCTCAATAGTGTCCTTATCATCCCGGAGGTCGAGTTTGGTACCCACTAGAATGATGGGAGTGTTGGGACAGTGGTGCCTCACCTCAGGATACCACTGCAAGAAAACAGTGTCAGCTGTGTATGGGCTAATTCCACAAAGGCTCTCAAACACCACACCTGGAGCCTCACAGGCCTCCCTGGCACTTCACAGCAGAGTAAACAGGAACACGTAAGACTCATCAGGGCAGGATTAGGAAAGGGCATAAAATGGCCAAACATTGTTACGAAGCCAACAGCTACTTCCACATCCTTTAAAATATTCCCTATTAAGGGCTGTTTTCCCCACATGCCAGAAAACCCCTGACCTGCACTGTCCTTGCCCACAGGGACCACCCCACCATCCTGTCTCTGAGCACTGTGAGCTGAGCTCTCCAAGGATACAGAAATACAACACAGAGCACGTGCCAGAACTATGGCTGATGCAAGAAACAAGTACCATCAATCTCATTTCTACATGCACTTGTTTTTCAATACTCTTTTTTAAAGGATCTTCATGATTTTTCATAACAAGGATCTGTTGGTGATCTCAGCACCTTGTTGGCTGAACACTCTTAATTACTGTTATCCTCTCAAGGCATCAAGGAACAATTCATACTTCAGAGTGTTTCATGTGCCCTGAATTTCCATGACTCAGGTTAGGCAAACGGATTTCTGCCTTTTCAAACTGCATCTCACTGCCTGCCAAGAAAACAATAAAAACAAAAAAGCACCTAACATTTTCCAACGAGTGCTGTAAAGTGAACAATACGATGAACGTTCAGAAATAAAATGTTCCCAGCTCCTCCTTACCTTAGCACGGACATTTTCGAAGGACGCTGGGCTCACCAGGGAAAAGCAGATTAAGAAGACATCCTACAAAACAAGTTCACAGAAGTCAGCCCAGCAGAGCAACCACTGTAAAACCAGTACCTGTCACTGTCATCTCTCACACTTCCAAAGGCAAGGTCAGCAATACAGTTGCATGTGACAATCAGAGGCAGCTTTCCCTGTGGGAAGTCCATTCCCAGGCAGTCACAACGAGGGGGAAAGAAACAACAAATAATTTGTAATCTGCTATGGCAGTGGGCAGCAACTAGGGCACTAACACCTCTGCCTCACAAGGGCTTTTGTCTCTAGATGACTTTTCTTCTTCACTGACAGGGAACTCATCAGCACAGGATGCTGCAAAGTCTTAACTGCTGGCATAACATTGACATTAAACTCTCAACTGCAAAGGCCATGTATATAGTATAGAATAAAAAAAAAAAAAATCACACAAGAATTTGAGTAATTATTACTTCCATGCCCAAATCAGAAGAATCTGTACAACTTCTTCAGAGCTTCTTGTAAAATGTCAGCTTAAAACAATCTCAGAATTTCTCTATAACCAAATGGGGCATTACAAATCTCAAAGTTCCCTCCTTCCCTTCCTAAATAGTGAGAAATAAAAAAGAAACAGAGGCGTGTTTAAGGACTTTGCACATTTTGCTTTTCAACTGAAGGCAAAAGACCAAGTCAGAGCAGGTAGAAACATTTTAGAGCACGTTTCTACTAACTGCAGGACACACTCCCAAAGACAATGAGCCTCACAGATGAGCCACCCTAGTCACAGCACTCAGGTAACTCCAGTGTTCCTTTCTCTCTCCATGCTGACGCAGACTGCAGCTTTGCTGTATGACCCAAAACTCAGTCAGCATCTCTCAAACCAGCCCAGCCTTCCCCAACCTACCTCTGCCTCCGAACTCATTCCGGTACAAACGTGTTACAGAATCAGCATTGCAGAGTGTTAGTTGATTGTGCTGCATTTCAAGGCATTTGGTTAGGTCAGCAGCTGACATCTGCACTGCTAAGCACTTGCAACCCAGTTGTTCATGCATCACCCCAACAAGTTTCCGTAGCAGCGTCCCAGAAGAAGAGAGAAACAACATCAAATAATGTGATACTATGGCCACTACTTCTGTTGTCCAACTCTGCAGGTCTGTGGTGACCGAGTGCTGCAGGTTACACAGACTCTCTCCTTTGCTAGCTCCAGACATCAAAAAATTCAGTGCAACCATGAGGAATTACTGAAAGACCTCAGGTGTCTTGCACACTACTAGTAAATAGGAGGAAAAACTATTTATTTACAAGAAAACATTTCATCTTAGCAACTAGTATAAAGAAATTTGGTAACAGTTCTCAGATCTTGCAATCTGAGAGTTCCAAGCAAAGCAGCTGTTCAAAAAATAGGGGCCAATTTATCACTATCATAAGCAAGACAAGATGACAGAACTTGGAACTGAAGTTTAGCTGAAGTGTTACATACGGCAATAGGTGGGTCTGTCAGACTGGCAGATATATTCTTACCATTGCTTCCTCCAACCTAGTAACAGCAGGAGATAAAGTTACTCCTCAAACGGATTTAAGGGAAAATGTTCTCAGTCAGCAACTTGTGCTCACAGATATTCTCAAGGTGGGTTTTCTTCTTGAGAGAGATGCTGCCCAGTAATTCAGCACAACCAACTCCCTGCACCCAGAACAGGCTCCACACCCCCAGAAACCACTGTCTGCACTGCCAGGGGAAACCTGAAACAGCAAGTCCTCCCAGCAATTTCCTTTTGGTTTGGTCTCCTGAGGAAACAGTTAACCACCTATTCTGCCCCAGTGTTTTCCTTCCCCAAATATTTGGAAACACTAGTAGTATTCAAATGCATTCAGGAGAAGGTATTAAATTCCTGTATACTTTAAGGAATAAAATACAAATATGAAAAGGGAAAAGGATTCAAACTGAAGCCTCCACTAGAGCAAAGTCCTCCCTGTGAAGTTACCAGCTGCTCACTCCAGGGTGGCCAACCCCAGTACACAAAGTGCCCAAGTAACCACCACCTGCTGCTTTCACCTCGCACAGAATGTAGTTCAGGTGCACCCAGAGGGAAAGGGAGAGCCACAGGAACAGTGAGGGGCGAGTTTTAAATAGCCCAGTGAAAGAAGAAGGAGGCTGAGTGCACATCCTAAAAAAAGGTCAGGCTTCATCAGCACCACTGTTCTCTTCCTCTGTGCCTTCTGTTAGTTTCGTGGGGGGTTTGTCCCTAAAGTTCTGATTCTTACATATTGCACAAGTCTAAAACCTAAAGATTTCTTCCTAAGAAGTTCTAGACTTTCCACTCCATTTCATTTTCTGCTGCAATCCCGGTAACTGAAAGTACTTCAAACCTGTACCTAACAGCTATCCATGCCTGTACAGAAGAGATTTTTCCCCCAGGATGCTCAGACTGACAAGGAACTCCCCTGCAGCCTGTCAGCAGGACAGTCACTTCAGCAGGCTGCAGATATGCATTCTGCCCCTGTCACAGGGGAGGAGCACTGTTTTCCCTTACAACTCTACTTCCCCACACTACCAAGCATCTCTCAACATACCTTTTTTCACCCTGAGATACCTTTTTGAAAATATTTTTATGATGCTAAGCAAAGCTTAAGGTTTAAGTATCCTATAAATATCCAAGCATTAGAGAAAACCAGCTCTCCATTGTCTCTTCCCAGGAAAGGCAGGTATTTCTGGCACATCAGCTGTAGCTGACTACAACTGGCAAGTTCATATCCACCCTGGGTATTGTAACTGCTGGGAAAGCCGGAGGACTGTAAGAGTTAGTGGGCAGTGGAGTAAGGAAAATTGGGAATTAAGACAGTTTACTAAAAATAGCACCAGAGTTCCTGAAATGAGATCCACATTGTTCAAGTTGTGCTGTTAGAGTCAGTGGAACCATTTAGCACTTTACATTATTAGCACTGAACATATTTTGACAGTTAACAGCAACAGTAATCAATGCCAAAAAACCCTGCAAGTTACCACCTTTCTTCACTTATAGCACAGCTCCAGCAGGTAAAAGTCACTGCTCTAAAGAGATTAGCAAACCAGCCTCTCCAGAGATTAACTGCAGCTGAAGTCACACTGCAAAGACAGCAGATTATTGCAGCCTTTTCCTTAAATGTGGAATGATGCAGGATCCAGGCAGGACTTAACCAGTTGCAAACAGGGAAGACAGAAGCACATTTGTATCAATGTTACAGCACAAACTACAGTAAGTAATAAAATAGCCACAGGCTCAAGTACATTGGAAAGCTCTGACACCACAGCCTGTGTCAGTACCAATAATCTCTTCATTCAGTGCTGCCTCTTTCACATGTAGAACATCTTCACAGAGACTAAACAGTATCAAGTGCTTAGCAGTGACAGTGTCAGGTTGCAGCCAGACATCATGCCTAAAACCAAGCCCAGACCCTGCGTTTGGCAGCCTAACCTTAAAGCAGTGGATTTTCAGAGACTCTGGGACTACACTGATGGGGCTATTCACCACGAGGTTTTGGGGTGTTT